ACGTTATCAAATGCTAAAGTTAACTAATTAAGATATGCGAACTATATGTGATACAAGTATACCACCCGATCTTCTTGCTAGCTAGGCATTTTGCATTATATTCTACGTGATCACAAAAGAATATCATTTCATTTTTTTTTAAAATATCATTGCAAATTAATGCTAAAATGTTTTAAAAATAAAAATAGTATTGGGTTACATAATTTTTTTGATATCGTTATATTCATATAGTATATTTTTAGCTCACTGTCAAATTTATGAGATATTCACTTTATGCATTATTTAGATTAATTTTCATGTATATCAATATCAATATTAAAGTTTAAGCGAAAAATATGTGTAAATAGAAATTACATTTTATGAACCAGGTGAATCGGACACGTTTTCTTGTCTTTTTTTAACCTTGATTTGATTAGTAATATTGGATTAAATTTGTTAGTTATTTCGATTAATTAATTCATAAAACTTTTAAAGTAAATATAAAATTTTAGGATCAAATTCATGCCTCTTTACTAGAGATGCGACATTTAAAGATTTTCAAGCATTTTGAAGAGGCAAACAGAGTCTTTATGGCCGGAAGTTTACGAATTTAGTGGTACATATGGGTGTCAATGTGGGCTGGGCTGGCCTACGAACTGAGTGGTACATATGGGTATCGATGTGGGCTGGGCTGGCCCTGTGCGAAAACAAAAAAATTGCCGAAAGTTTACAAACTGAGTGGTACTTATTATGAGTGTCAATGTGGGCTGGGCTGGAAAAAAAAAGAACTTAATATTTAACTTCATTAAGTGATGGCAATAAGACATATCATTGACGCACGTAATTAATGAAATTATAATTAAATTAGAATATGTGATATAAAGAAATATATATGAAACTTATATATATATATATATATATATATATATATATATATATATATATATGTATATATGCACTCATTCATGAATTTTAAGTTAGTCCAAAGTAGATGAACTCATACATGAATTTTAAGTTAGTCCAAAGTAGATGAGTATTCTGCATGCTAAAGGTATGCATAACAATATTTTCAAAAATAATTTGTTTAAAGAATAAAATTATTATTGAGAATAAAATGATTAGAAATTGTGTTTGATAAAATCAATTTATTTTTCCATTGTAAAGTATGAATAGGTGGCCAGGGAACAAAAGTTAAATTAATTTTTTTTATTTCTTATTTTTCAAGCAAACTTCAAGACCAATGAATTCTCGTATGAGGCTGAATGGGTGATAAGAATCGAACTTATAATCACCTAATGATGGAGGCTCTGACATAATATAAAGAGCAATCCAACTAAAAAATTTGATAAAGACAAATTAATTATCTTATACCTTTATATTATATTTATGTAAGGATTTTATGTTTATCATGTAACATAACACAACTTCACTTTTTTATACACATATTAAAGAGGTGAAGTCCACATGTTTTTCTTTCTCTTTCATCATTCTACTTTCTCTCTTCTTTTATTGTGTGTATTGAAAATAAAACTTAAATTATGTAACATAACATTAACAAGACCCTTTGTGTAATAGACGTTTGCACATAATATTGTTTGTAAAGTGCTTATTAGTTGAGGTATTGGCGGTGATGCATGACATACATCATTTATATAATGTGTAGGGACAATATAGTGTCGCGCCACATACCTTATCAACTAAGGTATTAGTGTGGAGCAATGATCAAGACATCAAGACGGCAAATTGGGGGATTGACTTTGACTGTATGATTTGCTTCACGAGTATGATACAGAGTCGGACACTTGAACCCAGATTGAGCTGGGCTAGACATGTTAGATTTATTAGTATTGGTATAGAACAATCAATTGGTATACAACAATCAATGTTATTAAACTCGTACTGGTGATCGATCCAATTGGGGTACCGGGTCAGTGGGTCACTAGTTCAATCGCATAAATTGAATATATATATATAAATTTATATTTTATACTCAACTATATAATAAATATTTTAAATGGTGCAAGTGAATTAAGAACCAAATATAATTTAGTAGTAAGACTATAATTTATATCTTCATAACAAGGGTTCGATTCCCACTAAATGTTATTTTGAAATAATTCTATTAAATGATAATATATATATATATATATATATATATATATATATATATATATACATATTAAATGATATATATTTTCCAACAAAGAAACTCAGCTTAGTGGTAAGTTGTTGTTGGACGTTCTCATGAGACTCAAGTTCAAATTCCAGCAGCTGCAAACTGATACAACACTCGTCTTGCTAGCTAGGAAATTTGCACTGAAATATAATGGAGAGTTATATTTATAAATTTTTTGTTTACAGATTATACTATATTCTGTCAAGAGAATACTAAGTTACACTATGTTTTCTCATGAGTACATAATATAATTTACAAAATTTTATAAAAAAATTGTAAAAGAATCATTCCCCTTGAAACATAGGAGTTTTTTATTTTTGGGTAAAGACCCTAAGGGGGCGTTTGGTTGATGAATTTTTTTTGAAATAGTAGGGAAATGTAATAGATAGAGAAATGATTGGAAAGATAGATAAAGTGAGATAGGTAGAAAAATGCAAAAAAAAGTTGTTTGGTGGGAAAAAACTTTACTGGGAAAATTAGGTAACTTTATGAAATCAACAGTGCATTAAAGGCCAGATAACCGGTTTTCCGAAAAATCCCACCTTCAAATTGGGTTTCTAAACAGTGCGGATATCTATGTTTCTCATAAATCCATACAAATCGGATAGATGGGTTTTTGGTGAAAATACGTTGAAACAAACATAGTGTTTCTAAAAGTCATACTTGAGAAACATAGATATCTGCTGAAAAGCTCCCAACCAAACACCACCTAAAGGACATTTGAGCATTTTCTTTTCATATTTATCGTTTTATACATTTATATGCATTTTATACGTTGTTACTTTTTACTATTTTATGTGAATTCCCCACCCTTGACGATTTTTGTAAAACAATTCACTAAAAAAAATCTTGTAAAAAAATTCATAACGTGTAAATTTATTTTCTATAATTGTATACATTAAATATAACTAATATAGTTACAATATGTAATATTTTAAATTAAAATTATTGAATTGATCCATTGAATTGCATAATTTTTATAATGTATGCAACATCCAAATTTTATTATTTTAATGATTTTCCTTTTAAATTAATTGTATTTTACATTATTTGAACAGCTTCAAAATATCACTTTTTTTTAGTACATTAAAATATCACTTTTTTAAAAATATTAATTTTAAACACAAATTAATTCATTTAAAATTATCTTTTAAATTAGTTTTATTAAAATCTAAACGGAATACACCTCCGAATATTCAAGAGGAATTTTTTTATTTTTTGTCTTTTTGTTCCAGCCCAACACTCTGAACTGCCAAGCGCAATCCACACCTGTATCAAGTAAGGATAATTTATAAACTACTGGTCATAAGACTTTACTTAATTAAATTATGGGATTTGTGCAAATAATCACCATTTATACACCTAATACAATCACTAATAAATTATGTCATATAAAATACTTTCTATAAATCTTCTCTCTTGAAAAAATCATTCTCAATAATAGATTAATGTTTTGTTTGTTATAAAGATGAATACCAATGAATCTATTATCCTCTAGGACCCCCACGATGGCAAAACCTGCGTCACATGATGAAATCACCTTTTTTATTTTAATTTGTTTAAACATTAATATAGATGGAACCTTTTCGCAATGACCATTGACCAGCATATGCCTTATGCTTCCAATGGGTCCCAGTTCCAGAGATCTAATTTATATATTGTTTATCGTTGTAATTATTAATTTATTATAATCTCCCTATTAGTCGAAATTTATATCTTTTGTTTGATCAAAATAAAGATAAGAGAAGATATGTACAAAAAAAAATTAAAATAAAGAGAAGACAACGACAAATAATTATAACGAAATATAATTATCATGTTACATAACATAAATTATATCATATTATAAAAATAAAATTGGTGAAATTTACTATTTAATTTGTTTTTTACTTTTTATTTAAACAGTAAATCTCACTAACTTTATTTCTACCATACGATATAACTTATTAACTTATGTCATGACGAAAACAATCCCATAATTATAATAACGAAATTCTCAACGCAGAGGGAGGCAAATCAGGGCCATCCATCCAACCCACGTAGAACTCGTGGCGTTTGAGTGGGGGTACCTGCGCACAAATTTTAGCTCTCTGTTTTCTGTATCAATCAGCCACGTGGTGCTCTATTTATTGTGGCATTGTGGTATACCATTTCTGCTTTCATATTGGGTCGCCACTTTTATAACAGAGTCTCTCCTCCACACCCTCAAATCCCAATTTGTTGCACCTACATCATTCATATTTATTGTAATTTATACACAATATTCAGCAGTTTTAACTTTTTCACGTGAAGTAATGATAAAAAAGTTAAGCTACGGGACAAAAGACAATCACTAATTATTTATGTAAATTACAACTTTTTTTTACAACCTCTTATAACTATATCTTAATACCGTTAATTTTTATCAATTGACGGTTATAATTTTCATAAAATAAATTTATTAATTAATTACTAATTCACAATAAATAATAACCATTGATTGGCGAAAGTCAACGATATTAAAATATAGTTATAAGAAATTGTAAAAAAAAGAAATTGTAAATATAACTTGTTCGTTATTTATACACTTGTTGATTTCATTGTCTCAGAAGAACGCTTTAGAAGCCTAAAAACAAGCTAATGCAACAATTTACTCTACCCTCAAACTTTCAATACAAAAATTAATGTAAACTTTTGAACAACATTTTAAAAGTTAAAACTATTTTTAGGGGCTTAAAAAAACTATTTAAAAGTTAATTTGACAATAATAAATTAAATAAACAAATAGTAATAAATAAATAAAATTGGTTTAGAATTTAAAAAATAATGATAAAAAGAAGTAAGCAATTATAATTTGTCCTAAACATTACAGCCTCTCAAGTAAACCACTGCACTATTTATGAAGACTTGTTGTTCAGTATTCATCACTCCAACTCCAACTCCAACTCCATCTCATGGCAATCACAACGAGGTTCCTCCTTCTCCTCTTTCTGATCTCGCTATGCTTCGCAGGAACCGTTAGATCTGTAAGACATCATGCCCTTAATCTAAGTACTGTAGTATCCTTCATCTTTATTTTCTTACTCATGAATAAATTAAATTAAATTAATATAAATATTTCATGTAGGAGGAAGATTGTGTGTACTCTGTTTACATTCGGACCGGGTCGATCATCAAGGGAGGAACCGATTCCATAATCGGGCTCAAGTTGTACGACGCATACGGCTACTACATATACATCACGAACCTGGAGGCATGGGGCGGGTTGATGGATCCGGGTCACGATTACTTCGAGCGGGGCAACCTAGATATATTCAGCGGCAGAGCACCTTGCTTGGACGGACCCGTATGCGCTGTGAACTTGACCTCGGACGGGTCGGGTCGCCATCACGGGTGGTACTGCAATTACGTGGAGGTGACCTCCACAGGGGTGCATATCCCCTGCGCTCAGCAGCAGTTCACGGTGGAGCAGTGGCTGGCTACGGACACATCGCCCCATCAGCTTTGGGCTGTAAGAAACTACTGCAATTACGACTTGGGCCAGGCCCGTCAAAAACCTGAATCCACCGATGATACCAGATTGGGCTCTGGGTCTGGTTTTGGTTTCTCTATTATGGGCTCGACCGTCCGTGCGTAGGGATACACCAATAATTTAAGTGGTAGTTATGGTTATAGAGTTGTTTGGTAACTTTTTTTATTTTTGGGTGCTTTTGTTGTCGTATTATATTTGCCATGTAATGTAAGGAGAGTGTCCTCGGTAGCCTTGCTCTTTATTGCAAAGGGTTCTAGAGTCAAGAACCCATATTATATATATATATTTGTATTATTATTTAATAAAGAGTTGCCATCACCAATGTCCTTTGGATTTTTCGTTAAGAGTCATGGAAAATAACTATGTTTACGAAAACGTACGTTTATTTCAGGGTGTTTGTGAGATGATGTACCCTTGCATTTATTAAGTGTGTGCAAGTTTTGTATAAAAGAAATATAATATTATTGTATAATTTTTTTTTTACACTTTATATTTTTAGGCTACAATACACATTCATATATACTTTTTTATTTTATATTCTTATCAAACAAATGTAACAGGGAGAAAAGATGCAACAAAACGGGACAAAAATATTTTAATATATAAAAAATCAGAAAAATATTTATACAGTTACTGCATATAAGTTATCTGCATTTACTTTCAAAACGACGTCGTTTTAAAATATAAATTAAAATTACAAAAATACCATAATTTCCGCCCAAAACGACGTCGTATTAGGTTTACTGCAGAAAAAGCTAACCCATAAAAAATATATGAGTATCTCTTTATTCATATTCTCATATTTTTTTAATTTTCAACATATAAAAATATGTAGGAATTTCCTCTATTTTCCTACATATTCTCATATTTTTTATTATAAGGGAATGATTCATATTCACATGAGGACCTATATAAAGATTTTTATGCGACAATCTTTCTATATTTTCCTATGACACAAATACTTTATTCATGTTTATCCTGGAGGCTAGGGTATGATAACTAATTTTAAAATGACTTGGAATATGGAATATAAATGAATGATTTTGGAGCGTCACAACCAAGTTTTAATTCACAAATTAAATACGGGGGTTAGTAAATGAGCCGAATCTCAATTTTTAGATATGTTAGTGCTACTATGAAAAAATGTATTGTATGTTTGAATTATGTTTTGCATTTACTTTAGTAACTCAATTTCTTCATATTTCTCCTCTGGAGTTGAATATTCTTCCGACCACTAATAGCATAGTGACCTAAATGTCATATTTTTCTAAACGTTACGTGAATAATATTTTTTACCAAATTATCACACATCTAAAATTGTTACGATTGGTAACAAGTTTGGTTAGACCACATGATACGTTCTTATTAACGTACCAAACTTGTTACCAATGGTAGCAAGTTTAGTAGCCAATGATTTAGTGGCACGTGACACACTTTTGAAGGAAAAATGACTGATTGTTTTGATCACTAAACTTGTTACCACTGATAGCAGTGACGGACCCAAAAAAATTTATTTATGGTTGCACACATAGTGGTCGGGATTCAGGGGCAATGCCCCTTAAAAAAAATTAAAAGAAAGTTTTGCAGGATTTTTTTTATATGATTTATTTGAACTTTATGCATGCCATGATCAAGAATGGTACATGCCATATATAATTAATCATGCTTCATGCTACATGATCGCTTACATTTCTAAGCGGTGCGGCAATACCAATGAAATTTAGATCACATGTTGTGAATTTGGAAAAAAGATGATGGTTACGAGATAGATATTTCATTTAAGAGATATTACACATGCCTATCAAAAAAAATTTAAAGAATGTTTATGACCACACATGCCCCACTGTAGCTCTGCCGCATCTGGTAGTGAGTTTGGTATGTTAATGGGAGCATGCCTCATGACCTAATCAAACATGCTACCAGTCGTAGCGAGTTTGGATGCATCGCAATCTGATAAAAAATATTGTTTGCAAAGTATTTAGGCAAATTTCTTAAAAAAGTGTAACAATTTACTCATTGTTCTGTTGAAACCTTCCTAGTATAATTAGTACGGAATCTTCTTCCTTTTGGACCTTGAGGGCTTGTGATAAAACCTTTAGTTTATCATATTTTTAGGGCTAATTAATACATGAATCACATAGTCAAATGCATGGAAACTTAGTTTTTGAGTTAAAAAACATGAAAGTTGAATTTTGAGCTAACATAACATGATCTTGCTTGATTTGAAGGTGAATTGACATGAAATAGTGCAAAAATGGAGTAAAGTCCTTGAGGATGAAATTGAAGACCAAAAGAAGTCCACTTGAAGCAATTCACAAGTAAATTGAAGACTAATGGAGCGTGTTTTAGCACACTAAAGTGTGCTCATACAACAAGAATGACCAAAATCCTTTGTACTAGCGCGCTAATATGAGCAAATTTCTTAATTACTTAGGGCATGGATTAATTACCTATAAATAAGGGATTTCTACACATATTAAGAGGGATTTTGATAATTCTGAACAAGGAATCTTACTTGGTGATAGAGGAACGTGTTTTTCATGCTTTGGAGCATTGGGAGCAGGTGGAATTCATGAATGCGCTGGGAACTCTAAAGAATCGCAATCCATCTTATCAATGGAGTTTAGGGATTCTTTATTTTTTTTCATGTGTTTTTGAATTCGCTATGCTAGGCTAGACTTCTTATGTAGTTAGGGAAAGATGAAATCCAATTGAATCTTTATGTTATGAATTAAATTGTCTCTGAATTTTTCTCTTTTTTATATTTGAATGAATTTATCTGTTTTTAATATATTCTATGAGTTCGCTCTTGTAGAATGATTTAGGGGAATTGCATAACAATAGAAATGTTGGTGTATGAACCTTGATTGGATAAATTCATCATAATGCTTGTGATTTAGGAATAGGCATAGGGTAATTGTGCAGTCTTTGAATTCTTGATCTTTATGCATATTTTCTTGAGGAACAATTGGGGAATTAAGATTCTTTCAAGATTATATAGAATAAGGGTAACAGGGGATTGAACCTGAATTATATTAGAAAGAATTGATTGGCATTATATTAAGAATAGTTTGGCATAACAATAGGAATGTTTGTGTATGAACCTTGATTGGATAAATTCATCATAATGCTTGTGATTTAGGAATAGACATAGGGTAATTGTACAATCTTTGAATTCTTGATCTTTATGCATATTTTCTTGAGGAACAATTGGGTAATTAAGATTCTTTCAAGATTATATAGAATAAGGGTAACCTTAATTAAATTAAAAAGAATTTATTGGCATTATATGAAGAATAGTTTCTTGATTTTTTTAATTTATAGCATAAAAAGGAGATTGAGGGAAGTCGAAACCCTAACTACTCTTTTCTTTTTCTTTTCTTGTCTTTAATTATGCAATTTTATTCTTCTACTTGTTTTTAATTTTAATTCAATTCTTCTCATAACAAATTGTTCAACTAAAGCGTGAGTAGTAAACTAGTGCTTGAACATCAATCTTCATAGGAACAATCTTGTACTCAAAGTACAGTTTTATTATTTTACGACCAGTACACTTGCAGAAGTCGCAACAACCTTTGGCCCTTGTATTAAACAAAAACAATGAAAAAGAAAATCTTAAGTTCGACGCCTTTCCCATGAAGCCAAAAAAATACTCCCAAAAGTTGCCTTACCCACTAAAGCCAATGGTCCAAACAACCCACCCACTTCGGATAAGCAAAGCTTCATCAGGCGATAGCTCGGCATTCTCTAACAAATATATTATTACTAGTAGCATTTTAGAGGATGTTCGCCTTAACTTTTTTATTTTTTAACTAAAAATCTACTTAAAAATTAAAGTTAAAAATAAGAGTTTAAAATATTATTCCCTTATTTGCCGCACATGCACTTGTTCTCAGTTAAAAAAAAAATGCACTTCAAGTTTTGATATTATTATGAACAAAGGTTTTAAAAAAGAAAGAGAATTCATCATTTTGTAAAGATTTTTGAAATTATATGAATATTCATTTTTATTTTTATTTTATTTTGATAAAATATTACTCCGTCTCCAAAATCTTAATGTATTCAATTAATCTGATTTTAGGTTTAAATCTTTTCATCCTTTACCAGAGTTGGGACTCTAAAAACTCAATATCTCTTGAATATATAAAATTCTAAAATCTAAATTTACAAAAAAAAAAAAAAAAATTCTAAAATCTAATTGTATCAGCCCACAGAACAACAATTCGTAAATGAATATTTATTTTAGTTTGACAAAGAACACTATATTACTTTGTTGTGGTCTCTATAGAAAATTAGAGGTTAAATAAGAAAAAAAAAATCTCCCTATCATTAAACTTCATGTTATGTTACAAATATAATCCTACATCGAATAACACAATGCGGAAAAGATGTGCAGGGATGACTTCTATACCAGAGAAAATGAAAGGAAAGGTGAGAAAAAGAAAACAAGAGAGTTACTAGCTATCCCTATCAAATGACAATTAACAAATCTAATGTACACGGTTGAAGTCCTTAACAAATCTAAGACAAACATTGTACATTTTCTCCCAAAAAGAAGAAATAAAAAAAAAAGGAGGACAATAAGAGACATATAACAAGTTCTAGTTTTACTATACTTTAACTTGGTGACTTTTTTTTTTTTTAAAGAACTTTAGAATAATCACTTCAAAAGCTAGCCCAAAGGATGAGAATGCCCAAAGTCTTATAAATGCCATATTAGTTGCCCACACAATCAATATGGGACTATATATCGCAACACGTCCCCTCAGCCGTTGGATTTGAAGTGTGTATTATGCACAAGCCCAATATTTTGATTTACCTTTTTGTGTTTTTTATTTTTAATTTTACTTTAAAGTTGGGGCCGTGAGGATCGAACTCGTGAACTTATGGTCACTCAAGCTCTGATACCATGCAAACAACATTCCGATTTTTCATTAACCTAAATCAGGTCCTCTGTTTCCATCTGAAACGCTCTGAACTGATGTGGATATTGATTTTCCTTTCCCGAGCAGTAATGTATGTTTGAATTATGTTTTGCATTTGCTTTAGGAACTCAATTTCTTCATATTTCTCCTCTGGAATTGAATATTCTCCCGATTACTGATATAACGACGGTTATAATTTATAAAACCTTCACAGTATAATTAGTACAACATCATCTTCCTTTTCGGCCTTGTGGCCCTTGTATTAAAAAAACAAACAATGAAAAACAAAATCAAAAGTGCGATGCCTTTCCCATAAAGCCAAAGAAAAAATCCAAAAATTTGTCCCTTCACAGTATAATTACCTCTTTCTGCTGTCGCTATGCTTCGCCGGAACCGTTTTATCTGTAAGACATCATGCCCTCCAATATCAGTACATTACCCTTCATCTTAATTTTGTTACTCACTATTACAATTAAATTAAATAATATAAATATTGCATGTAGGAAGATTGTGTGTACACTGTTTACATTCAGACCGGGTCGGTCATCGACGGAGGAACCGATTCCATAATCGGGCTCAAGTTGTACGAAGCATACGGGCCATACGGCAAATACATATACATCCCGAACCTGGTGGCATGGGGCGGGGTAATGGATCCGGGTCATAACTACTTCGAGCCGGGCAACATAGACATATTCAGCGGGAAGGCACCTTGCTTGCGCGGACCAGTTTGCGCTATGAACCTGTCTTCGGATGTGTCGGGTCTCCATCCCAGGTGGTACTGTAATTACGTGGAGGTGACCTCCACAGGTTGGCAAAAAACCTGCGCTCAGCAGCGGTTCAGGGTGCAGACGTGGCTATCTGCGGACAGATATCCTTGGTCTATAACAGATTACTGCAGTGACGTCTTGGGCCAGGCCCGTCAAAGATCTGAATCCTCAGATGATGCTAGATTGGGCTCTGGGTCTGGTTATGGTTTCTCTATTTTGGGCTCGACCATCCGTACGTAGGGATACGCCAATAATTTAAGTGGTAGTTATAGTTATAGAGTTGTTGGGTAACTTATTTATTTTTGGGTACTTTTGGTGTTGTATTATATTTATTATGTAAGGATAGTGTCCTCCGTAGGCCGTAGCCTTGTTCTTGATTGGCGAAGCAGAATTGGTCACCGGATTCTAGAGTGAAGAACTTTTATATATATATATATATATATATATATATATATATATATGTATTTTTATTCAATAAAGAGTTCCATCACCAATGTCCTTTGGATTTTTCGTATGGATAATAACTATGTTTACGAAAACGTTAATGCACGTTTATTTCAGGTGTTTGTGAGATGATGTACGCTTGCATTTATTTATTTATTTATTTATTTTGGTATAATCTGGAAGATATTCTCATTCAATCTCTTTCGGTCACCTTGTACTCGGAGGAGAGTCTGAAAGCTACTAATTCATTGAAACAACGGATGTATTGAGCTTCGCTATCGGAGGAAGGATGAGACTAACCCCCTTTCGAAGAGAGAAACACATTTGGCCTTCAATGACTTTCCAAGAGTTTGTTTGAGACATGATTTGAATCCCTGACCCAAGCAAGTGAGCTCAGTTGCCAAGTAAACTATCATTGGAGGTTACCCTTGCATTTATTAAGTGTGTGCAAGTTTTCTATAAAAGAATAATATTATTTATAGGCTACAATCCACATTAATATGTACTTTTTCTTTTAATATATACTTTTTCTTTTATTTTCTTCTCAAACAAATGTAAGTGGGTGAAAAGAAGTAAAAAACGGGACAAAAATATTTTTATATAAAAAATATGGGTTTTATAATTCTCATGTAACATGAGAGTTAAAATTTTCCTACACACCCTTCGATTTTCGTGCTTATATCGATCCCACATGTAATTTTTTCTAACATATGAGTCCCACGTGTTTCTTATCTCTATGACATGAGATTTCAATTCTCATGTAAAATGAGAATTATAAAACCCAAAAAATATTTGAGCACCTGTTTATTCATATTCTCATATTTTTTAATTTTCTACATATAAATATATGTAGGAATTTCCTCTAATTTCCTATATATTTTCATATTTTTTATTATGTGGGAATGATTCATATTCACATGAGGACCTGTTTATTCATATTCCTATATAAAGATATTTATGCGACAATCTTTCTATATTTTCCTATAACACAAATACTTTATTCATGTTTATTCTGGGGGCTAGGGTATGATAATTAATTTCAAAATGACTTGGAATATGCAATATAAATGAATAATTTTGGAGCGTCCCAACCAAGTTTTAATTCACAAATTAAATACGGGTGACAGTAAATGAGCATAATCTCAATTTTTCAGATATGTTCTCTTGCTACTATGAAAAGAATGTATTGTATCTTTGAATTATGTTTTACATTTGCTTTAGGATCTCAGATTTTGAATATTCTTCCAATCATTTATATAACAAGGGAGATGAAATTTGAGGCTCCCGGACCACAAGAGATTGAGTGGTGTCCAGGAGAGAGAGTGAAAGACAAATTGAAAAGAGAGAAGGAAAAAAAAAATTCATATATCACTCTCTTAATGGGAGGATCATTATGGTCTAGAAGCATGTTAAAATTTTCCATAACAAGAGTTGAAACCTTCCCAGTATAATTAGTACGGAATCTTCTTCTTTTTCGACCTTGTGGCCCTTGTATTTAAAAAAAAAAACAATGAAAAAGAAAATCAAAAGTAGGATGCCATTCCCCCCATGAAGCCAAAAAAATACTCCCAAAGCCAATGGTCCAAACTCCAAACAACCCACCCACTTCGGATAAGCAAAGCTTCATCAGACGATAGCTCAGCATTCTCTAACAAATATATTATCACTAGTACCATTATAGAGGATGTTTGCCTTAACTTTTTTTTTTTTAAACTTAAAAGCTACTTAAAAATTTAAGATAAAAATAAGAGTTTAAAATATTATTCCCTTATTTGCCTCGCATGCACTTGTGCTCAATTAAAAAAAAAAATATGCACTTCAAGTTTTGAGATTACTAAGAACAAAGGTTTTAAAAAAGAAAGAGAATTCATCATTTTGTAAAGAAATTTGAAATTATATGAATATTCATTTTTTTTTTATTTTGATAAATATTAACCTATGTGGGATGTCCTAACAAATTCAATTAATTTTGAATTTGAGTCTTTCTATCCTTTTCTAAGAGTTGTGACTCTTAAATCTACTATCTCTTAGAGAGATCAAATTCTAAAATTTGATTGTATCAGCCACTAGAACAACAATTCATAGATGAATATTTATTTTAGTTTGACAAAGAACATTATATTACTTAATTTTTGCGGATAGAAAGTTAAAGAGGTTAAATAAGAATAAATTTTTCCTGTCATTAAATGACCTCATCTTTCCTACATGAGTAGTACATACTACTTCTATTCAAAATCTAACACACGTATTTAAAACCCATTTTTCTCTATGACATGTCAGCATTGGTGTTTGATATTTGGTTTTAATTGAAGGAATATATAGAAAAATGAGTACATCTGTAATATTGTAGAAATTTTCCTATACCAGATAAGATAAAATGAAAGGAGAGGTGAGAAAAAGAAAACAAAAAGTTACTAGCTATCCCTATCAAACGACAATTAACAAATCTAATGTACACGGTTGAAGTCCTTAATAGACAAATATTATACAGTTTCTGCCAAAAAGAAGAAAGAAATAAAAAGGAGGACAAGAAGAGACATATAACAAGTTCTAGTTTTACTAAATCAGGCCCTGTGTTTCCATCTGAAACGCTCTGAACTGACGTGGATATTGATTTTCCCTTTCCCGAGCAGCATTTTTTTGCTTTTGTAAGAGATGGATCATATCCTTTCCTATGTGTTACTTAACCTTTGTCACACTTCATATTACTGTTCCTTTTTTTTTATCTTAATCTTCTACTTGTCTAACTCTCTCCCCTCTAGTTATGAATCACCTCCACCATACTTCATGTCCTTTCTTGACCTCACTGCTTCTTAAGCTGTGCTTGGGCCTCCAACAATGCCCGGTTTACTTCCTCATCTTCTGGTGTCTCTTTTAGCAAGAGTTCGTAGTCTTGTATTGAAGCTTCCCATCTTTCCAACTATGATTTTACAATAAACATCATCACACAAATCACATAACAAGAAAAACCGTAAGTTAAAAATATTGTGATGTTTTGAAACTTGTATTTACCAAGTTGCATCTTTAAGTTATTATTATAAGAGTTTTCATTTGTTCAAAGCAAATTGCATTACGTAAACAAAAGAGGTTTTAGGTGGTTCACCTTAGCATTACAATCGGCTCTTCTCAACCTGGCTTTGGTGTAATTTGGTCGTAAGTTAAGGGCAGCAGTGCAATCTTCCACAGCTCTTTCAAATTGGCCTAGCTTTGATCTACAAGCAGCTCGGTTGCATAGTAAAATGGAGTTATATGGATCATGCTCAAGGCCTTCTCCATAAGCAACACAAGCCTCAGAATATTTTGATGCTTTGAAAAGCTCGTTTCCTTTTGCTCGAGTAGCTGTAACAGCTCGAGCCCTTCTCAACACCTTATTAGCCTCCCTATTATTGGGGTCCAACCTAACTGCTCTTTGTGCTGCCTCTAAAGCATCTTCTAATCTGCCAAACACAATGAGTAACATGAACATTATTTTGACATAGTATGATTATGAGACACCTTAAGTCATGGATGGCTAGGCAATATGTTTTATTTATGTTTGGATTATATTAAACTATCAATCATATTGGTTGAGAATTATCTCCAGTGATCCAAAATACAGATGAAATACAGTCCATTTTTCTTTACCATGAAATGAAAAAATTCGCAATACATAAGGAAAAAGAGAAAATTTAGTCAGTTAGCTTCCACATTATATTAAGTTGTACATGTTGTACTTACTATCATATGAATATTATTTAAGCGGACGGGCCGTTACAGAATGTGTACATGAATCATGAGCAATCACTAATCAATGTTTGTGAAATTCTTTATTTATTTTTTCAAAAATCAGAAACTAAATACTAACCTGCCAGCAGCTATATCAACCTGAGCACGTGTCCCCAACAAATTTGCATTACCAATAGGTCCGAAGAACTTGGTACATTCCTCAACATCAAAGTTAGGACACTTTGACATTACTTTCTCTGCATCTTGATGCCTACGGAGTTTTAATAGGGCCTCGGCTTGCAATGCAAATATCTAATGACCAAAAGCATATTCATATATAAGCGCAAAATAGAGGTTGATGTGATTGCATAGGCTAAAATGTAAAAACAAAACTCACCTGTGGTGCAGAATCTGCACCGGATGATAGAGCATTGTTGGTTTCCATAATCAGTTTGTTCCAATCTCCTAACCTACGAGCCTCAGTGCACTTGCTTAGATGTCCCTGAAGAATTTTCGCTTTAGCAATCTCTTCAGGATCAGCCTCTGGTCCTGCTTGGTTATAATGATATAAGGCCTTATCTGTTTCTCCTAATCTGTAGGCAAGTGAAAATGAAAAGTAACAAACACTATGAGTTGGCCCAACTACTACATCTTTTTTATCTAGTGAAATCAAAAGTGTTGCATTTACATGAATACTATACCTAAAATGCAAATTTCCCAAACGATGATGAGCTCTATGGTAATGAGGCTCAATTCGAATGGCTTCTCTGCATTCAAACACAGCCTCAAGAAGCCTACCAAGAGCAGTCAATGCTGCACTTCTGTTACTCCTATAGGAAGCCTTGTTGGGGTCAATTGAAATGGCTGCATCATAAAGAGCCAATGCTTCTGCAAACCTTCCATTCTTATAATCCTCATTCCCCATTATCTTCAATTGTTCTGGATCCATTCTAGTAGACACAGCCCTGCATAGTGAACCCGATTGTTCCTTGCTGGGATTAACATCTTTACTCCTATTATTACCCTGCATAGTATGGTTTGTGTAACCTCCATTAGGAACATGGTAATCCATTGCAACACTGTTATCTGGTCCTGCCCCTCCTTGCCTAAGGTTACCTAAATTACTAAACAGCATCACGTTGCTTGAAGAAGCTCTAACAAGGTTGTTGTTTCCCTTGGACTTTTGGTGATCGTTGATCATGCTTTCGAGCTCACCCGAAATTCCAACAGCTTCTTTTGGAACCCTTCTTCCCTGGTTGACATAGCCCTCAGTAGGTGACACTTTTGATGGGGCTCTTGTTGTTGTTGTTGTTGTTGCTATTTCGTTCCTTTGATGGGTTTGGTTAACAAAATGTGTTGGTTTCTGAGGATTGGAATAAGAAGGCTTTGAGACAGAACGAGATGAAGAGTTTGTGGAATTAATTGAAGCTGGTGCTGTGACCAAAGTGGGATCGTTAGAACCACCTCGTCGCCGTTTTGAATCATGGGTGTTTGATGCCTTTCCAAAATCATTGACATGGTTGACAATGGGAGAAGAACCTTCAGAGACTGATCTTCGTGATGGCCATGGTTTTTGTCTTCCGAACATTGCTGTTATCAAGCCACAACCAGATCTTCTCTCTGGTGAATTGTCTCCCATTTTTTTGCTTTTTCTTATGTTACAGAATTTTTTTTTTTTTTGTTTTGATTGAGGATGTTGATCTCCTTAGCTAAACCAAAGATAGGAGCTACTTCTATTCTATATGAACATGTGCTACCAAATAAATCTTGTGAAAAATAGAATATTAAAAGTTGAAAACACTTCAACACCTTAGAATCCAAAATGTAAAGAGAATGAATTGCCTCACTTTTGGAAATTAAATCCAGGAGATAATCTACAAAGCCTCCTCCTGGAGAGGCTGCAAGGAGATTAAGTTTCTCTTTCTATTCTCTCTCTTAAAATTGGAGAGTTGAAATTAAAGGGAAGACTAGAGAGACGAAATTGCAGGAAGAAAAAATATTAATTAAAGGCACGTTAGCTGTTTTATTGAAAAACAAACAATGCAATAGTTGGATTTCAATTTTCTTCTTTCTGAACTCTTTCTTTTTTTTTCTCTTTTTCTTTTTCCGACTTATTTTGATGTTTTAATTATTATTATTTTAGAATTGTTTGATTGGTTGTTTATTTGATGGTAAAAAGAAAACCAACAGACCCGGTCTTCGGCTTAACGAGGATCTCAGCAATTTTGGAAATGACAACACTTCATTTAGAAAAACAGCGAGGACACATAAAGGAAAGACACTTGAGCTTCACACGTTTCCAGCTGTAACATAACATTGCAAACAATTATAATCATTGCGAATTTAATCCAATTTTAAAGAAGAGTGATTCTACATTTTTCGTTCTTTATCAAATAAAAAATATGGGTTAAACTACGGTCCTGTTACATCAAAACCACAAATTTGTCCGGTTGATACATTGATTTTTGTGCTTTCTTTTTTCTATTTTTTTTTTTGAAAAAACACATGTGGGTCCATCAACTTGTTATACATGTGGGTCCATCAGTTGTTTTGTGTCAACTGAAAATATTTATGTTTTCCAGTAACATAACCCTAGTTTTTCCCAAAAAAATATATAAAAAATGGGACATACTAACCTGTCGGAGATCCACCTGTTGATATGGTTTAGTACTTTTAGGGCTCGTTTGGTAGATAGGATAGGATAAATGTAAGATATGATATAGGGCTGATAAATGTAGGATATGATATGAGGCTGATAAGCCGATATCATGTCCTGTGTTTGATGAGCACCTGATTAGCAATCTGATAATATTTATGTAGAAGGAGAAAAGAGAAAGAAAAAATAAAATAAAATGCAATATATACAAATATATTGGGTAGCGTGAGGATATATCGAGTATCCAATATTGATATCATATCCTATTGAATTCTAACTCAGCTCCTCCCATAGGATAAGAAATCATGTATTGGATAGGATAAAATGAGACAATAGGATAAGTTAATCATATCCTATTGACTCACCAAATAAGAGATAAAAGTAAGATATGATAAGTTATCATATTCTATCTTCTTTATCAGGTGCTCCAAACAGGCCCTTAGTCTTTCAAAAAATATTTTTTTCTCCAAATAATATGTAAAGAAACATGCGTTAACTTGTTCTAATGCTCGAAATTATACATATCATCAACCATTAAGTGAAGACTATCAAGTAGAAGAATCTACAAATAAAATGTTTTAAAATTTTGGATTTAAATGCGGTGTCAAACCCCTTATCCTCATGCTCTGCCTTTGTTGTATTATACTCATTTTTCTAGTTATAGTTTTCTCGAAGTCATGGGCCTCAACCTTAAGCTTCGGCTGGATCTTGATCCGAAGGATTTTCTTCCAATACTGGAATACTTTTGCTTCTTTGGGTCATTTAACTCAATTAGATTGGACATGTTGTTGTGTCCATTGTTGCATAATGCAATGCTTGCTTGATTGCTAAAACTGACTACCAAAACATTAAAATGGTTTTCTTATTTTAATTATGTAGTGTTTATGGATAAAAGTTTACAAAATAAATTACCAGTGCATTTTAGACTCTACTACCAATGTATAAAAAATAAAACATAAAATGGTTGGAGTGGAAGTATATTGTTTATATAATTGAATAATATAATTTTAAAACGGGCTTTAAACAAACAGTATACTCATAAGGTAATTAAAAATACTCCTTACATAAGCTATAATTTTAATGTAATAAAGAATATTTTTTATTCTTCTATTAAATGTATATAAAATTTTCTTTTTTATAAAACCAGTTTTGTAAAAGCATATTTACTTATCGATAGGTATGGCCAAATGGTGGGTAGGCCCGTGGTCGAGCAAGCCCAAATTTATTTTTAACATAAAAGTTATGTCTAACTTTAACACAACCTAGTTTTAGAACCTAAACTGAAGTCAAAGTTAGCTTGTTTTTAGAAGCCCATACCTACTATTGGTTTTATTGAGTGTGTGAATAATATAAATTCATCAAAATTGATATCAAACATTCAAACGTTAAGTTATTAAATTTCTTAACATATATTATAAATTCACCCATCTACTCGTACATATTGATAAATAATACTTATTATCTTTTTAAATAAATGACACGTCATTTTTTACTTTTTTAATTTAAACTCCTTTTAATCTTATTCTTTATTTTTTTAATTTTTGATGTACTCTTTTTTTTTAATAGTAATTAAATTTAGAAAAAAAAAATACATGCATCGCACCGCAAAAATATCCGATAATAACTTAATAAAAAAATATTTTAAATTATGCTTAATTATGAAATACAAGGATAAAAATATATCTACATTTATTTCTAAATAAATTAAAATCATGATTTTTTTAAAATTAAATTAAAAATATACATATACACTTTACAGATAAGTCAATATTTGTTTTTTGGATACATGATAAGTCATTTTAAAACTCATCTAACTTAATAATAAAATATTTATTAATAATAGGTATATAGTAGAGAAAACCAATTAAAACACGGATTGAATAATTAGGTAGACCTAACATTGATAAAAACCACCAAATCACTTTGCTAGACAAGACAAAATCCCCAAATTTTGATCGTTCAATGACAATAGCAAATTAATGGCGATTATTCAATTTAAAAATGTGTTGTGAAGAATTTAAAAATCCTGATACCTTTGCACCCTGCAAGTTGGTCAGAGCCTGGTATTTGCAGAATGCTCAGCATATCAAAAAAGGTCAAACGTCAAATACTCAAATTCCCCCAACTAACCTTCGTAAGGACACCATGCCCCCTAAGGACCGACGCCACCACACCCTAACTTCTGGACCACATGACCACACCTACTACCTAGACTTGTAATATATATGCCTTTGACTCAGCTCTAACACTTCATTTTTTTATCCCTGGGAATTACAATTCATTATTTAAATTTACATGTCCATAATAAACTTGGAGTTCCTTGTTAAATTTCTTTTCCAGTTTTGAGAAACGTTTTACTTGAAAATTAGTTCCTTTTCAAACTCGGATTACTGTTATAATATTGATTTTGGATTTTGTTATTTGTTTATACTTTAATAGATAGGGTACGCGTTCGAATCAAATCAAATCAAATGGGAATATTTTAACTTAACTAAGAAGAATTGGCTAGTAGTGGTAACGAAAATATATATATAAAAAAAAAAAAAGGAAAATTGTTAGTACCATTAGGTAGCGTTGGACTTGTCAAATTGGCGATTGGGACCAAATACTTCAATTTTCAGTCACATTAGATTCCGACTTGAAAACAATGTTTGTCTATTCACATCACTATCTTGAAATCAAATCTATAGATCAAGAACAAATCACGAAAACAACTGTTGTCTTTTGTGCATCATCATTAAGGTATCTCGCCCACCCTCGCTCCACGGCAGAAGCCACGAGGAGAGTTTCTCAACAACAAAATCCATTCCTCCACCCATGGAGAATTTATGTGACGATAATTCGGTGCATCTTTTATGTGTTTTATTTTTGTCAAATAAATTAATAAATAATTTATTTCAAAATTAGTAAAAAGAGTAATTTGATATAAAATAAATCACATGTCATAATATGAGTGAAAGATGCATCGAATTCGATGCATCTATAGTACCAAAAATATCCTCCCACCCATGAGTTGTTTGGCTCCCAATAAAAATGAAGAGATTCAAACCCAGACCGAATTGGTTTATAAAATTTTGGACATCTGTATTTCTAGTCATTAATTATTATGATCCAATAAATTTTAGATGCATGAAAATTAACTCTTAATATTTGATGTATGATTTATTATTCTTACATTTACTATCTTTATATATATATATATATATAAAAAATAAAAACTAAAGTAAATATTTTATTATATTATACATGACTCAAATAACTGATTATGCATATTTGACACTTTGCTTGATCTCTATGATTTAATTTTTTCTTCATGAAGCTATTGCATGTGAACCTGCAAGTTGATTGGCTTATATATAATAGAATTAATATAAATGTTTATTTTTTGGCTCCACGGTATAACGATACTAAAAAAGTAAGAAAACTTTTACAAAAAAGAATAAAAAATAAATAGAAAACTTAGTGTTGTCTAATCGTGGGTTAAAATATGAAACATTTCATAATTCTAAGTTTTTTCCGTGGTTAGGTTAGGTAGAATTACTATTTAAGTACAAAGCACAGAGTGGGAAAACTTAAAAAAATAAAATAAAAACATAATACTTATATATGATATTTCAAATATCGGAAGCTTCGAACAAATAAAATTATTAACTGGTATATGGTTGCTTGTGCTTTTGTGCGTTCAACCAATTGTTAATAAAATTCTACTTGGCTCTAGCATGACAGCTTGATCGCACCTCAGAAAACAAAACGAAATAAATAAACATAAAATGTTGACAATGGCATTGACCAAATATATATTTGTATTTGTTTTTTCTCTCTTTGGGCTTAATATTTTTGAATTTTTCTTCACTTTAATTTGTCTAGTCTGCTCATTTATTAATTTCCTTGTCAGCTAATGTGGTATCCATCTTCCGAGTTGTTTTGATTCTCGACCGATGGTGGAGAACAATACCAGAGAGGAAACCACCAAAAAAGGGACG